GACATTAATTCAGTTTGACTGAACTCCATTTGTAACAACCCTCTGCTTTCTTCCATCCGGCCACTCTTCTATCCAATTTGCTAACTTACCCCAACTTGTTTTACAAGCCTTTTATGTGGCACCTTGTCAAAAGCTTTCTGAAAATCCAGATACACCAAATCTACACCTCACCCTCATCTAAGTAAACTTTTCAAAGAATGTCAAAAGATTTGTAAGGCAAGGTTTTCCCTCAGCAAAATCGTGTTGACTATCCAATAAAATTCAAAACTTTGTTAAACGACTGCAAAGCATCTTTTAACATACTTTCCAAAACTTTTCTCACAACTGATGTAAGGCTAATGGGTCTATAATTACTGGGACAATATTTATCACCTCCCTTGAAAAATGGTGTTACATTTTCCAATCCTCTGGTACCTGCCCACTATTCAAGGACTGGCAAAAAAATAGTTGTAAGTGGTTCACATATCCAATCTTTAACTTCCTTCAGATCCCTTAGGGAAATATTACCTGGCCCAGAAGCCTTATCATTTTTTTAAACTTCCCATTTTTTTCTTAATAAGTTCGCATTTAATGCAGTCATCTTGTTTGATCTCGTTTCCATTTATCAACTGATTAAAATGTGGAATACAGCTTGAATCTTCATAAATTTAATAACTCAGCCTCTCATAATCATCAGATACTAGCCTTCCTTTATCAACCCTCAAGGGTCCTATCCTTATCCTAACATTTAGTTTACCCTTAATGTATTTAAAAAAAGTCTTAGTGCTAATTTTACATTTTCAGCCAATCTTTTCTCATCCATCCTTTTTGATGTTCTAATTTCCTGTTTCACCAACTTTCTTGATCTTCTATAATCTTTTAAGTCTCATACCAGTCAATTTCAATTTCTTAAACTTATGATGATTTTCTTTAACTTTATCTCTTTATGAGCCAACCTGGTTTTTTACTTGCAGCTACCCTTTTCTTTCTATAAGGAATATGTTTTCCTTGAATATTTAAAAATTTTCCATATCTGATCAGTGTCTCCAAATAACTCTGCTGTCCAATTCACAACAGATAATTCTTGTAATGTGTGTGTTTGATTGCTGGGTATTTTGCTCTTGTTTAGAAAAGTTGAACTATATTTAACAAAGTGACATGAAATTATAGTTGCTATCTCATTTTAATTAAGTTCAAGCTTTATACCATTACCTTATTTCTTGTTAGTTCCATTGGCTTGTGCAACGAACAAAGTTGTGAAAGGATGAAATATTTCATAGCTTAAAAGAAACAAGTGAAAAAAAATCATATATATATATATATATATATATATATATAA